CATTGTTGACTTAGAACTCTCTCTGATCAAATGGGAAAATAGTATGACATTCACGTACGGTTTACGGCTTAAATCCCGTTCACCTTGAGACTGAAGGGCTCACACCCCAGGCAAGTCGAGTTCCATTGACTTGTGTGCGAATAGAAACTCTGAGAACTTAAACTTTTAAAAGACACACCGGCAAAAGAGGTATATCTTCTATTCTAATTCCCACTTTGCTTAACAGAAAGAATGACCGAGTTGGATGATATCAGCTTTAGCAATGCATTTTTAACCTCGGAACACCTCTAAATGCAAAGTATCCGATAAAACACTGAAAATTGTTTGCTATTGATAATATCTCATGAAGTTATGTAGACTGAAAATATTTTGGTCCCATCAACCTATTGTACCACTTTACTGCATTCTGCTTTTTGTAGTAATTAACTCCTGAAGGTTACCCGAGCTCAGTCAGAGCAATCATGCTCTTTTGAACTAAAACCAAGCTCACATTCTTTGATCGCTATCGTGGAACGACAGAGATTAGCGACTGAATTACTCACCGAAACGTCCGGAATCAACCTTTCCTGTGAAACAGATGCAACCCTCAATCTGAAGTGAACAAAGAATGTTAAATTTTTCAAAGTATGCATGCGGTCAGAATCGGTGAGCGTACTGTCCACTGATCAGGCAACAACAGACCAATGATCGCCCTGGGATAATAAGTCAACCCAATTCGTATGGAAGCAATTTCACTGGAATGCTTTTCGCGAAAACGTTAACAAAACAGGAGAAGCACCATCGCCGATTATTCTATAAAGGCGTTTGATTAAGATTGACCAATCAATGAAGTGGTGTCAGTTATTACGTAACTCACCAACCGACAGATAAATCGCTCATGATACAGTCAACGTTCTTATTTCTTTAATTGAAAAAGAACCCCATATTTATGGCTTATTTTGTTTATCAAATCAATTGAGTTATTCAGTTATTTCTGGTTGAATATGATTTTTAAAAATCCCAGTGATATGATAATGCACTAATACACGATTTGTCACGAAACTGGTCAAATCCGTGCATCTACTGAACATGTGTAACTCGTAAGCTGATTATTGAAATTTTAAATGCGTTCAACACTCATTCCTTATGTGAACTAATCCGTTCACGTGATCAATTATATAGTGACACGATACTTTAAATGAAATACGTGTGAATAATCCAGTCACGCAAGTGCAATAAGAATTTCGGACAAACTTCTGTCAGACGAATTACACCTGTGAGATCTTACTCATGTTGATACCACCGATGGGTGCAACAATGAATTCATGAAGAGTTTTCCGTTCACACTCTCTCAGGTAGTATTGTCTTTCCTGGATGGGTTAATACAAATCTGAGTTTCTTTTAGTTTACGACTGATTCGGTGTCAGGCGTTGTACCCTAGAAAGTTTTAATTTTGTGGCTTTTCCCGGGCGATGATCAAATACTACTCTTTGTGTGTATAATAGTACCCAGGTAACCAACCCACGAGTGCGTGCTCCGTTTTGCGTGGTATCCAAGAAACAAAATTCCTCAAGATTCACGAATAATTAAAAATGAATAATTCGGGGATCCAAAAGATCAAATGAATGTCTTTTCTAAAAGGTCAAACTCCGGGGCCTCGCCTTTCAGCATAATAATACTCAGGTAATTAAGTTCTATCTGTTTCTCGTCCCCAACTCTCTTAATAGCAAATTAAATTCAATGAACTGGATATTTTCCTTTCTTCCTATACGAGCCCTTCTATCCTCCAACTAATGGATATTCATGTTGTTTTATTTGTATGACACAAAAATATAATCAGTTCATTTTTAAATGTCTATCAAAATCTATCTTTTTACTTTGGTTCTGTTTCGTCCCCTTATAACAATCCAACGGAACACACGATAGCATTAAACAAGTGGTTCTGTTTGGAGAAGGTGCCGGAGCTAATATTTTGGCGCGCTTTGCGGTAAGTGATTTGAATGAGTTATTTCACAAATTACGATATGACCCTATGTACCCGGGGAACGATATTAAACGCAACCAGCGAATGAAATTCAATTTTAGCATTTTATTCGAATCAATTCACGTCATTCTACGTAAATATATAAAGGATGTGGAACTAATGATTCATTGTAAATCAATAAAATCAATTGAGTTATATCCCCACGGAAAATGTGCTACAGGAATGTGATTTCAGCCGGATTCGAAATGAACTGTGTTGACGTTGTCATACGCTCCTAACGGACCCGTCCGTATATCGTTGTGATTCAAGTTTCTTTGTCCATCATTTGCTTTAGGTTCAGTCAGATTGGTCATTATCAAATAATATCCGGAAAGATCCCAGTTAGGACAAGGTTAACAAAACAGAACTGTTGGGACTGTACTGTACTGCAAACGTAATAAGAAATTACCGGATTGTCTAATAATAAAACCTGTAGTTCGCCGGTCAGAATGTAGACACACTTTGCTCGAATTTGATATTGATTCACAGTGAGTGAAATCGTGTTAACAAATAATCTCATGCGAATCATTTTATTTCGATTTATTTGTCCCAACAAAATACAAAGTTGTTTCGCAAATTAAAAAGATATTCGCAATATGGCAACGGGCATTAGAAAGCTACTTCAACGCCATTAGAGCTCATCAATAATATATAACATTTTTGTTTCCATCGGTGCTCGACGGGTGGACTGTTGAAGAGGCAGATTTGGGCACTTAAGTACACATGTGCCTAAAGTGAATTAGATATGATTTTCAAATCCGTGCGCATTCCCGCAAACAGGTTTCCTGGCGGGATGTAAAACCTTGAGGATCTTCACTGTAAAAGAAGAAAATGTAGCTCATTTTTCACAATCGTCAAACAACCCTGATTGTAAACAGTCGTCTTTGAGATTGGACGATCACATCTTATTGACAATGTAATAATCTTAGCAATTCATGTTTCCTAGTCAAAAACTGGCATTCTCTTGTTTCCACTGAGTTATGGTGGGTTCCGCATTACCGCAGTTGGTTGATCACTGTGCTTCTTCTCACGTGACATAATCTTATATGTTATGCCCACGTGATATTTTTCAAGTTGGTTTACACTTCAAAATTCCCACCTTGATTTTCTCGTTTGAAACCTTTCTACTATACCACGGTTATATCACCGTTTCTTAAACAAACGGAAATATGGTGCCCATAAAAAGAAACACTGAGCCTTTCCTGTGTCTTCTGAAGTATTTCCCTATACTGATTGACAGAAGAATATATTTATCTACTTGTGCAAAGGAATTTCTATGTGAAAGTGGCCAAACCTCCACAAAAGTTATTTTCGGGCTCCACTCCCTAATTCTTCCATGTCGTGCAAGAGCGATGCAACACCCTGACCAGCACCATCACCACAGCCGCAAAAATGACAACGTAGAAAATGGGCGATCGCTATTTTGCCTCATTGTCTCAGGTTATCAATAAAAGATTGCTTTGGTGTCATGTGATGTCTTTTGATTGGTTATATTTACCGTATGGCGTATTTTCACGGCACATGTTTTAGGCATAAGAAGACTTGGTAAAGCATCCACTTGGTGGAAACACAAGCCAAACAATCGGATAATGCATTATGAATTGTAAATATGCAACAGTTGTACAATCTGAAATCGAGATAGAGCGTGAAAAATCGCCTGAAATGAAAGATGTCCCCATATTTCATTCTCTTTATGTAGAGCACATGACCAGGTGAGGAAAAATAAGACTCGTTTCAGTTTGAGTGCCAGCATAGATTCGTTCAAAGCAAAATGATGTGGATGAGAAAAGAGAAACAATTAGAGTATGAAGCTGGGATTAGACCATTTGATTGTTTGGAGGCACCATGCACTCTTGATGTTTCTGGGTATGGGTTTCACTTTTTGGGAAATCGGTAATTCCCCACTATATGAATTAATTTAAATCTGATTTGATTATGATTCATGTTATGTTTGAGACTCGTCAGCAGTGCCTCTTAACAACCGACTGGGCCAATCCATAGTAGTTCATAGTATAGGGAGAGAACCATGGATTTATTGATTGATAGACCTATGTTCACCGGCATAGACTGGAGTTTTTAACTAATCATCCTTTAGTCCTCATCGTGAGAGAAAGCCGATATTTATGGAATGGATCTTTATATATATATATAAATTCTTTAGCTACGAATTCCCATTACGTGGTTATCTTTGAGTCATCCGAATGAAGCATTTATATTTGAGTTCTCACCGTGATTCCGCATTATGTTCACGGGTAAGAACCTGCGAATCTACAAGGCCCCTAACCAAAGCCCGATTTCCAATTCACGCATGCCCAACAGTAAAAACAGGGAAGTTTGACCAGTGAAACAGTTAATGTCGATTAGAAAGGTATCTTATTCATTTTCGAAAATTCTCTTTTGCTTTTTTGTTAGAGTGGACAGTAAATCATTAATGCGTCTGAGATGACTGAAGATTGCGTTTATTTTGCATTTTCATACCATTTCAACCGTCTCTGCCCCTCTGGAAAGGAACCGAAGCCTAAGATATAACTAAAGCATTTGGGAATTATATATATATATTTATATCAGATT